TGCTGGATTTGGTTTGCTAATATTCTGTTAAGGATTTTTGCATCTACATTCAAGAGAGATATTGATCTGAAATGTTAATGTCTTTGCCTGCCTTTGAAATCAGATAACTCTGGACTTATAAAATGAATTGGTAAGTTCTCCCTTCTCTTTTATTTTCTGAAAGAGTTTGTGAATGATTAACATTGTTTCTTCTTTGAATATTTGATAGAATTCACCAAATCCAATCCTGGGATTTTCTTTGTGGGAAGATTTTAAATTCCTAATTCAATTTATTTACTTGTTACAAGTCTGCTCAAATTTTCTATTTGTTCTTAAATCAGTCTTGGTAATTTCTTTCTAGTAATTTGTGTCTTGCTGGAATTTTATCCATTTTGGCTTATTTTCTAAATCGATGACATAAATTTGATTATAATATTCCATTATAATACTTTTAAGTTATGTAAGGTTGGTAGTAATGTCACCCCTTTCACTGTTGATTTTAGTAATTTGTGTGTTTTTTTTTTCTTGGTCAGTCTAGCTAAAGGTTTGTCCACCTTGTTGATCTTTTCAAAGAACCAACTTTTAGTTTTATTGGCTTTTTTCCAGTATTTTTCTGTTTCATTGGTTTTTGCTATATTCTTTATCATTTCCTTCCTCTGCTTGCTTTTGCTCTGCTTTGCTCTTCTTTGTCTCGTTTCTTAAGATGGAAGCTTAAAGTACTGATTTGAGAATTTTCTCTTTTTCTTATATATGCACTTAAGGTTTAAGTTTTCCTTGAAGCATCGCTTTACCTGTACACATAAATTCTAAGTTGTCTTTTTGCTTTCATTTATTTAAATATTTAAAATTTCCCTGTGGTATTAGGTAAGTGTTCTTTAATTGACAAATATTTGGGTTTGTTAAAGATTTCTTTCTGTTATATGACTTCAGTCCTGTGTAAACTACTGAGAGTTGTTTTATGGCCCAGTATATAGTCTCACCCAGAAAATGTTTCACACGTGTTTGCAAAGAATATGTATTCTGCAGTCAATGGGTAGAGCTTTCTATTTATGTCATTTAGGTCAAACGGACTGATGATACTGTTGAACTCCTCTATCTCCTTGCTGATTTCTACCTATTTAGTAGTTCTTTAAAGTATTGCAAGTAAGGTATTGAAATCCCCAATTAGAGAAACTGAATTTCTCCTTCCACAGTTTTGCTTCATGCATTTTGAGACTGTTGTTAGATGTACATACAATTTTTGACTGCTATATCTTCCTGAATGTATTGACCTTTTAGTCATTATGAAATGTCTCTATTTGTCTTCAGTAATACTTCTTGTCTTAAAGTCTATTTTGTCTTGATGTTTCCTTATCATTACTGTTTTCATTGTGTATCTTTCCCCATCTTTTTCCTTTCAACCTGTTTGTGTCTTGGAATCTAAATGTGTTTCTTATAGACGACATATAGCTGAGTGTTGCTTTTTTATCCAGTTTGACAACCTCTGCCTTTTGAATAGAATGTTCACTCCATTCACATTTAATGTAATTAGTTAAATACTTGGATTTATTCCTGCCATTTTGCTATTTTTCTATTTGTCACATCTTTTTTATTTCTCTCTTCCTCCTACACTGCTTTCTTTTGTGATAAATATTTTTTATTCTATCTTTTTAATCCATTTCTGATACTTTTTATTTTCTATTCTTATAGAGTTATTTTGTTAGCAACTGCTGTAGGGATTATAACATGAATTCTAATTTATTATAATCTACTTCAAAATAATATTTAATTCCAGTAAAAAAGAAACTATATTCCAAAATATGTCTTTTCCCTTGTTTTCTTTTGTGTTATTATTGTCATATATATTAAATGTATATGTTATAAACCCAACACAACAGTGTTAGAATTATTGTTTTATATAATCTTAGAAAAATGAGAAAAATCTATCTACGGACTGTTTTATATTTACCCACATATTTGCCAACATTCTTCAATTCTTCCTATTGATTTGAATTAAACTGGAGTCAATATCTTCAGTATTTCTTGTAAGACAGTCTAGTCAATCTTTGTTTATCCAGGAATACTTTATTTCACCTTTATTTTAAAAGACTGGGTTTTCTGAATATAGAATCCTTGGTTGATATTTTTCTTTTAGCACTTTGAATATGTCATGCTTTATGGTTTCCACTATTTCTGATGAAAAATACCAGTTGTTAAAGGTATTATTGGTCCCCTATGTGTAATGAGTCATTTTCTTCTTCCAGCTTCAAGATTTTCTCCTTTCCTTTAGCTTTCAACAGTTTAACTATGATGTGTCTATGTACAGCTCTGTGTGTTTTCCTACTTGGGGTTTGTTGAGCTTCTTGAATCTATATAGATTGTGTTTCATCATATCTGGAAAGTTTTCTGCCATTATCTCTTCAAATATTTTTTAACTCCCCTCTCCTCCCCTCAGTTTCCCATTATGTATATATGTATGAACTTAATGTTTCCCCACAGGCCTCTGAGGCTTCACTTTTCTTCAGTCTTTTTCCCTCTGCTCTTTCAGAGTATATAAATTCTCCTGACCTATATTCAAATTCACTGATCCTTCTGCCATCTTAAATCTTCTATCAAACTCATCTAGTGAATTTTTTTAAATTACTATACTTTTTAATGCTACAGTTTCTGTTTGTATATTTTTTACAATAATTACATCTATGTGGAAATTCTTTATTCATTGTGTCACTGTGGTCCTACTTCCCTTTGATGCTTTAAACATGGTTTTCTTTAGTTCTTTGAACATACTTATAATAGCTGCTTTGATGTTTTAGTCTGCTAAATCCAACATATGGAGACACTTAGATACAGTTTCTATTGACTGTTTTTTTTTTTCCTTAACTATGGGTCATCCTTTCTTGTTTCTTTGCATATCTCTAAATTTTTTGTTGAATGTTGGACATTTTAGATAATATATTGGAGCAACTCTAGATTCTGATTTTCTCTGAGGGTGGCTGATGGACTGAAAGTCTGTTTTCCCCACCATGTGTGGTTGCTGATATCTCTACTCCATCCCCCCCCCATCATTTTTCTTTCTACGACTGGCTTTTTAAGACCATTTTAAGCTGGTCTCCAGTGTCACCTTAGTGTTTAGCCAAAAACTATTCAGAGATTTTACTCAAACATCTCAATCCAGTAAAGCTTCCACTCTCAGGATGTGTGTGTATTTGAATGAGGATTTGTGTGTGAAATGAGGAGTGCATTCAAAGTTTGGGCCTTTTAAAAGTTGGCCTCAGATTTTATTACCACTAGGCCTGTTTGATCTCCTTTCCAGATATTCTTAGGCTCCACTAACCAGTGATACGTGGGTGACTGGGCCCACTTGATATTCTGCTGTGCCTGTCTACAGCCTCCAATCAACCTGTGATATGTGGTGAACTTATCAAGCCCCCAAGATTGTCTTACCTCCTAGAACTCTCTATAAAATCCTGCTACTCCATGAGTCTGTTGCTTGTCACAAATTAGACTGCAGTCTCAGACTAGCAGAGCCATTGGTCCTCCCTATTTGTTTGCAACTAAGATTCTTACCCTGAGTTCAGTACTTTTCATGAATAAAGTTTCTCAATTTATTTGGTTGATTTCCAGAGTGATGAATTTGTTTTGACAGTTTTGTCCAGCTTTATGATTGCTTTGTGAGGAAAGTAATTAAATCTCTCACTCAGTCATGTCAGCCATTCCTTTTTTAATAGTGTATATCATGTGTTGCTGTAGTCCAAAGTCAACTATACCTAATCTTGGCTATAACTTTGAGATTGTATTTACCTCTAAGATAAAAGAGCAAATTTACTTTTTATTCAATATTACTCAATATTCTGTGCATAGATATGTACCTATTTTAGACTAGATATATTAGACTCAGCTTCCTTTGTTTTTTGTTGCTGTTGGGAAAAACTGATTTTGCGCATATGTGTTTGTGTGCATAGATAGGCGTTGAGGATTTCTGTACATCAATAATATAAAGAAGTTCCTAAAAATGTAATACAATCACAGGCAAAATCATGCTAATAGACTACTATATCTATTCAGTCCAGACACCACAGTATATGAGAAATACTGATAACCTATAGTATGTGAAAATGATACTAAGAGGTATGGATACTATGGCATATGAAATATATTTGAGAGAAATGTCAATGTTTACCCTGGAGGAAAATGACATATTGCAAGCCTTTCAAATATTTAAATTAGACTTATTCAATATTGATACAGAGGGCCGAGTCAAAACTTAGGGGTATGATTTTGAGTTCAATATAGTACAAAATAAACTAACAACTTAAGTGGCAACAAACAGAACTGGTTTGGTTTTCTTGCAAAGTGATAAGCTTTTCTCACTGAGAATGACTGTAATAGACTAGATTAATGTTTTCTAAGGGGTGTTTATATAGGAGATGGACTAGATGACCTTCCAACTCTAAGTTTCTGTAATTTTATAAAAGCAAATAAATAAGAATTTAGACGGATAAAAGAGAACACTACAGGAAAATAATCAAAAAATATATTGATACATAAAATTATCATAATTTGGGTTATTCATAAGGGAATGGGTTATAATAACTGTTTCTCAAAGACATGGATTCCACTATACTATCAGGTCTCAAAGGGCGACAATATGCTGGATATCATTAAAAAATTATAAGAAGCAGAAAACACTATCCTACCTTTGTAAAAATTGTGATCTATAGTTCTAGTTGCGGTAACTCAAGAATAAGAAAGCTGAAGTGGGAACAAAATATAATAAATAAACAAGACAAAATTACATAAAATCAGACTTCATTCTGGAAAGGCAAAAGCTGAGTGGGTACATAAGAAATATTTATAAAGAATATGAAGGGCACAAATAATGTAAACTCAGAATTGTTCACCAAAATGTGGAAGGCAACCCTTAAAACTCTGAGAGAGGTAAGTTTATCACAAATATAGGAAGTATCATTATATTCAGGAAATAGTTAATATAATTTGCTAGGACCAAAGCAGGACATAGACTGAAAACAGAAGTGACTTACCTCTTTTAGTTGATCAGCACTCCCCCATGATGCAGAACGCTGATGTGACCTCTTTTCTGTGCCTTCTTCTACCCAACAGCTAGGTGTCTTTAAAAAAATAAGTAAAATAAAAAATAAAGAATTTTGCCTCTATCCTTAATCTCACAGCAAATCAAACATATTTCAAGATCTTAGCACATACCAATTAAAGGGTTATACTGAATACTAGAATGCCTTAAAAGCTAAGACTTTAATGACCCTGTGAAATGTTTATTATTCTGAATTAGATATGATCAATCTAAGATGTCTCTGAGTAATGTTACTCAAAACATTTGATTTTTTACATCAACATTAAATTTATCAAATTCAAAGAGAACTGTGAAATATGCATATTGGTGTTTTTAAAGAGAATAGGCAAACTAATTATGAAATGTTATGTTTACTAAAGAGAAGTAAGATTAACAGAACATGCTTAGAAGTAGTAGGGTTACAGATGACCTACATGTCAAATATTTAGTTAGGTAAAGGGCTGAATGTACTATACTCTTTCTGTACTCAGGGAAGAGTGTGTTAATAATAGTATCATTTTTTGAAAAACATCAAGCATCTTTATATAAAAATATAAAGTTACTATAAAAATAGAAAAAGTTATTATAAAAATAAACAAGATTAAGCTAAACTGACTGTAATTTAAAACAATGCATCTTAAAACCTGAGCTACATGGCAGAAAACAGAATTGCTTTTACCTAAAACTTCATTTTCAGCGATTTATCCTATAACAGACACTACATCCGAACATAACACAAAACACTAAATGCCAAATAGTAAGATCATTTCGTAGTTGTATTAAAAATTTTTAAATATTGAACTACCATCCTTAATATATGAGAAGACTCTTAGTGTAATGCAACTTAGGGAAAGTTAAAACCACTATTTTAAGACAGATATAGGGTAATGATTATCATATATAAATATTGGGTTAGATAAAAGTTCATTGGGGTTTTTCTGTAACATCTTAGGGAAAAAAACCCTAACGAACTTTTTGGCCAACCCAATATAAATATATATTGCTTCAAAAATTATTTTTTATTACATACAGAAAAGTTCATCATTCATATTGAGGCTGCACCTGTGACTTTACATAATACACAACTTATGAAGAAGCCATCGGTTCTATAGAATTCAAAATGCTTGTGGACAAAGTTTTAAATAATTACCACCTCTTAAAAGTAATGATGCTGCAAAATAAAACCAATAACAATTGAATGCTAGTTGAATAAAAATACACATAAACTGCTTAAACAGTTCAAATACTAAAGTGAAACTATTTAGTCATAATACTAAAATATTTTATTCACTTGGTAATTGCAAAGATAAGAGGTATTAATATATTAAATAAACTGCTTGCAAATAGTTATTAAATTTTCCTAATCTCGGTCCTAGATAAGAAAAACTACTCTGAAAATAATCCCCCCAAGTAGTCATATCTTTAATAATTTATGCCAAAATTATTCAATTACGACTTTGTTTTAGTCAAACTTTTATTTCAATAATTTATATCCCTTAATAATTTTACCTTTCTACCAAGCAGAGGCATTGCTCTCATCAAAAATCAAATGATTAAGGATCACAATGTTTAAAACTCAAAAGCATATTCACAGAAAATGAATAAAATTTCTGACGTGTTCCATAATTAACGAAAACATTTATAACACTTTTCATTTTGTATAGCTCTAACTTTTTCAAAGGAAATTTACATAAACTGTATCTCCAACTTAGAGTTAAATCAGTAGCCACAAAAATTCTGCAAATGCCTTAATACTGCCAAGCACACCAATGGCAAATGAAACTAAATCTGAGGTCTCTCATCTCAGAGTATCTTCTTTTCTTCCTATTGTCATTCTTTTTTTAAAATTGAATGTGAAAACCTATTTGATTATTTCAGAATGTAGTATTGGTTATACAAAAGAAATACATAAAAACTAACTACAAAAGAATATTTATGTTCCTGAAATCTATCTAGTAAAATATATAATTTTTTTTAAGTACAAAACCACTGGAAGAATACTTTCAGTCATGTGGCTATAAAAATTACATGTATATAAATTGTTTAAGTATATTCATCATAGTTTCAACTTTTCCAAAAAATACTCCCCAAAGAAAAATTTCATTTTAATTGCACATATATACTATTATATTCTAAAGACTGCATTGTCCAAAACAAAAGCTACTAGCCACATGTAATAATTTAAATTAATGAAAATAAAATAAAAACTTCAGTTCTTTAATCTCATTAGTACATTTCAAATACTCAATAACCACATGTGGCTAGAGGCTATGGGCTGCCATATAGAACAGCACAGATACAGCACATTTCCACCATTGCATAAAGTTCTATTGAGAGCAGTGTTTTATACATTTAATCATTGATTTTATTTTTTTTATTTTTATTAGTCATCAATTTTATACACATCAATGAATACATGTCAATACTAATCGCCCGATTCAACACACCACCATCCCCACCCCACTGTGGTTTCCCCCCCTTGGTGTCCATACGTTTGTTCTCTACATCTGTGTTTCAACTTCTGCCCTGCAAACCAGTTCATCTGTACCATTTTTCTAGGTTCCACATACATGCGTGAATATACGATATTTGTTTTTCTCTTTCTGACTTACTTCACTCTGTATGACAGTCTCTACATCCATCCACATCTCTACAAATGACTCAATTTCATTCTTTTTTATGGCTGAGTAAAATTCCATTGTATATATGTGCCACAACTTCTTTATCCATTTGTCTGTCGATGGGCATTTAGGTTGCTTCCATGACCTGGCTATTGTAAATAATGCTGCAATGAACACTGGGGTGCATGTGTCTTTTTGAATTATGGTTTTCTCTGGGTATATGCCCAGTAGTGGGATTGCTGGATCATATGGTAATTCCATTTTTAGTTTTTTAAGGAACCTCCATACTTTTCTCCATAGTGGCTGTATCAATTTACATTCCCACCAACAGTGCAAGAGGGTTCCCTTTTCTCCACACCCTATCCAGCACTTCTTGTTTGTAGATTTTCCGATGATGCCCATTCTAACTGGTGTGAAGTGATACCTCATTGTAGTTTTGATTTGCATGTCTCTAATAATTAGTGATGTTGAGCAGCTTTTCATGTGCTTCTTGGCCATCTGTATGTCTTCTTTGGAGAAATGTCTATATAGGTCTTCTGCCCATTTTTGGATTGGGTTTTTTGTTTCTTTAATATTGAGCTGCATGAGCTGTTCATATATTTTGGAGATTAATCCTTTGTCCATTGATTCGTTTGCGAATATTTTCTCCCATTCTGAGGGTTGTCTTTTCATCTTGTTTATGGTTTCCTTTGCTGTGCAAAAGCTTTGGAGTTTCATTAGGTCCCATTTGTTTATTTTTGTTTTTATTTCCATTACTCTAGGAGGTGGATCAAAAAAGATCTTGCTGTGATTTATGTCCAAGAGTGTTCTTCCTATGTTTTCCTCTAAGAGTTTTATAGTGTCTGGCCTTATATGTAGGTCTTTAATCCTTTTTGAGTTTCTTTTTGTGTATGGTGTTAGGGAGTGTTCTAATTTCATTCTTTTACATGTAGTTGTCCAGTTTTCTCAGCACCACTTATTGAAGAGACTGTCTTTTCTCCATTGTATATCTTTGCCTCCTTTGTCATAGATTAGTTGACCATAGGTGCGTGGGTTTATCTCTGGGATTTCTATCTTGTTCCATTGATCTATGTTTCTGTTTTTGTGCCAGTACCATATTGTCTTGATTACTGTAGCTTTGTAGTATACTCTGAAGTCAGGAAGTCTGCTTCCTCCACCTCCGTTTTTTTCCCTCAAGACTGCTTTGGCTGCTCGGGGTCTTTTTTGTCTCCATACAGATTTTAAGATGATTTGTTCTAGTTCCGTAAAAAATGCCATTGGTAATTTGATAGGGATTGCACTGAATCTGTAGATTGCTTTGGGTAGTATAGTCACTGTCAAAATATTGATTCTTCCAATCCAAGAACATGGTATATCTCTCCATCTGTTGGTATCATCTTTAATTTCTTTCATCAGTGTCTTATAATTTTCTGCATACAGGTCTTTTGTTTCCTTAGGTAGGTTTATTCCTAGGTATTTTATTCTTTTTTCTGCAATGGTGAATGGGATTTTTTCCTTAATTTCTCTTTCTGAACTTTCGTTATTAGTGTATAGGAATGCAAAAGATTTCTGTGCATTAATTTTGTATCCTGCAGCTTCACCAAATTCGTTGATTAGCTCTATCAGTTTCCTGGTGGCATTTTTAGGATTCTCTGTGTATAGTATCATGTCATCTACAAACAGTGATAGTTTTACTTCTTCTTTTCCAATTTGTATTCCTTTTATTTCTTTTTCTTCTCTGATTGACATGGCTAGGACTTCCAAAACTACGTTGAATAACAGTGGCGAGAGTGGACATCCTTGTCTCATTCCTGATCTTAGAGGAAATGCTTTCAGTTTTCACCATTGAGAATGATGTGTGCTGTGGGTTTGTCGTATATGGCCTTTATTATGTTGAGGTAGGTTCCCTCTATGCCCACTTTCTGGAGAGTTTTTATCATAAATGGGTATTGAATTTTGTCAAAAGTTTTTTCTGAATCTATTGAGATGATCATATGGTTTTTATTCTTCAATTTGTTAATATGGTGTATCACACTGATTGATTTGCGTATATTGAAGACTCTTTGCATCCCTGGAATATCTCTCGCTTGATCATGGTGTATGATCCTTTTAATGTGTTGTTGGATTCTGTTTACTAGTATTTTGTTGAGGATTTTTGCATCTATACTCATCAGTGATATTGGTCTGTAATTTTCTTTTTTTGTAGTATTTTTTTTTGTCTGGTTTTGGTATCAGGGTGATGGTGGGCTCATAAAATGAGTTTAGGAGTGTTCCTTCCTCTGCAATTTTTTGGAAGAGTTTGAGAAGTGTGGGTGTTAGCTCTTCTCTAAATGTTTGATAGAATTCACCTGTGAAGCCAACCGGTCCTGGACTTCTGTTTGTTGGAAGATTTTTGATTCACAGTTTCAATTTCATTACTTGTGATTGGTCTGTTCATATT